CCCCAAAACCCCAAAACCCCAAAACCCCAAAACCCCAAAACCCCACTGTACCTAGGATTTATTGAATCTGGATTTATTGAATTAGAGCTTGATTACCTCAATTTATCGGCGGGGGAGTCAATCCCATAGCTAGAGTCCTTTCTTCTTTGCCATGCACCCCTAGGTGTGGACTTGTAAATAGTACCTTGAATGCTCTTGTCCACTTGCCCTGCCTCTGAAGGATTGATTCCATAGATCTTTATAGACTTGTGATGGGCTTTACTCTTGTTTAGAATAGTATTTGCATAACTATTAGGAGTCTTATGTCTTGTTTGTGTCAATCCTAGTCTATATAATCACACAAAAAATTTACTTTCTCTGCATATAGGATTTGTTCTTGGCCCCTCTGAACATGTTCATGAAACTCTTAAAGTCAATGTCCTGGTTCTTGCCAAATTTATCTGAACTCCTAACAGAGATGCTCCTGTTATAGAGAGTCCGAGAGGTTATAAATTTGCAATTTGATTTTATATCTGGTCGGGGAAGAATACTACTTAGGTTCTTCTCTTTACTCTTCCTTCGTAACTCCTTATGCTTGAGCAAATCTGGCTCAGGAACAATGAGTTTATAGCAAGTCTTTTTCCCAATGCTTGATTTCCCAGGAGAAATACTAATGCTCCCTTTCATGCTATAGATAATTATCAGAAGTTACCTTGGTAAAACTGGAGGCTTTTCTTTATTCAAGATCCCACTGACTTTATTCTCCAAATATTGAAGCTTCTTATTTTCTATTGATAGTATCTCTTAAGATCTTGAGGCTCAGGTTATTCCCGTATTTCGGTAGTTTGGTTCCCTGGAAATCCCTAGGTTCCTTTAACTTCTTTTTCGGTTTCGGTTGCAAGAATTTTACATCATAAGCAGCAATCCTGCTCATGGACTTCTCTCTTGATCTGCTATAATTTAGCACATGCAAATACTCTCTTTCACAGCTTGAAGCGGGGGAACGCTTAGAAATCGTCTTGATATTTGTTCAAATGATATGAGTGTGCTTAGGTGTCTCTCTAAAAGTTTATCCGTAAAATACCTAGTCTCATCTAAGGCCACGATCGTTTCATCATTTTCACTGTCTTGATTGGGTAACTTATTTCTATCAATAGTTTCACTAGAAGTTATAAGATGGTTTACTGGAGAAATCAGTTAATCCCCACACTCCCTTTTCTTTCCTTCTCCTTTCTGCTAATTCTTGGATTTTCTTTTTGATAGAAATTATCTATTATTGATCAGGATTAGCATACTGTTGGTAACACTGAGTTTATTGTATTTCACTCTTTTCTCAATACTCCATGCCAGACATCTGTCCTGCTTTTGTTTGGGGTTTACTACAGATATAAATCAAGCTAAACAAATGGCTTACTTGACCTTGTTCTTCTGCTTATAATTTAGTATTATTGATTCCCTTCTTTTCAGGAGTAAACTCCAGATCCATTTTATGTGTAGAAATACCTACATTCTTCATATAAACTGGTTTATAGGAGCTTTCTCTGTGGCAAGAGTTCTTTTTTGGTCCAAGTTCAGCCTAAATTGGTAAATTTATGATGAATACAGTCTTTGGGATTTCTATTCTAAATCCAATATAATCAGCATCACTGTATTCATTACTCATGTTTATTTTTATTTATCCACACCTGAAGGGGTTTTGGGGTTTTGGGGTTTTGGGGTTTTGGGG